CACACACACACACACACACACACACACACACACACATACACACCGACCAGAAACTCACTTCAGTGCAACTTCAAAAATGACTACTTTACTTGGAGCATTTAGACTCACTACCTTCTATATCAAGCCATTTTCTCTTAAATAGCTCCAAGCATCCTGGTTTGGAAAAATTTTGTTCTATATGCAGATCAAGACTCTAGTAGATGGGGATAGAGTTGGAAGAACAGAAAAGGCTGGAAAGCAGAGAATCATGGACCAGAAAGAAGTTTTAAAAAGAACCACCCATTTAATTAGGCACATGCATACATAACATCTTCAAAGAGGAAATGGAAGAACCTTGCTGATTCCAGGAAACCAATAGAGCACCATAGCCAATAAGCATCAGTTTTCCTGCTTTAGGAAGACAGATAAAAAAACATTGATGGGAAAAATTATTTGTATGCAAGTATGTAATTGGAAACACATGGATAGATACACGCACACAAGTATATGCATAAGTTTGTGTACATATGTGTGTATGTATGGCTAACTACACATACGTGTTCATTCACTATTTTAGGTACAAATTAGTTTAGTTCTCTCTTAGGGACTCATGCTCACCTCAAATTTTGCTGCAATCAGAAAGGCAGTTGAACCAAGGAGTTGTAGCTTGTCTTTCTGGCATACTACCTTCATCAGGTAGTGATCCACCAGCTTTACTGCCAAGTACAAGGTCTCATGACAAACCTCAAAGGTCATCTGGAGGAATACACAACAGGACAAGAATCAACACATCTTACAGATCCATAAAAATCTCCATACTGACCTAGATTCCTGGACTATCTGTAACATCATGGATAGTCCTGGCCAGTTGGGACTGTGCTAGGAATGCAGAAAACTACTTCAGTAAGGTACCTGCATAAATCTCCCATGCCTTTGAGGACCCTGGTATTACCTGCCCTCACATATTTGAATAGGTAAATAGTCTTTCAAGCCAGAGAGAGAGAGAGAGATAAGCTGTTTTGCCTTCTCTGGGGGCACCTTGAGTGGATATACACTCTCTCTTTGATCTCTGATACTGAGGTTCTTGCTTTCCGCATTTGTTACCAACTTGTAAACTACGTGAAGAGATCATGTTTATTTAGTTGAAATACAGAGTCTATTAGCTGATTTATTATTAGTTTCTTTTCTCAACTAGCTATGCTATTAGAATATATTGATTGGGAGCAAGTATCAATAGCACAATTTGGAAGAGAACTAAGAGATACGGGGAGCCAAAGTGAAATTAAATCATTAGCAGTACAACTCCCCTTCCTTTCTTTTTCTTAGTTATCATTATCATTCCTTCACCAACTCCAAGAAAACTTCTCCTATAACCCCAGTCCCAGAATTTATGCTGGCCTATGCAGTACCTTTGTGGAAATTAGAAGAAAAAAAAAGGTGGCTTCTTTGGGTAAATAAAGCCCTTCAGATAGAAATCAATTACATAATATCTTTATATGAATCAGCAAAGGTACACAGCAGCCCTATAGCCAGAATGCATGGCTTGGCAAGCAGTATGAATTCAATTTCACTGGCTGCTTTTGCCTTGGCTAAAGCCCTTGTATAAACACAATTTACACAACTGTACACAGAGGGCCCACCAACCATCAGTGATACTTCTTCCCCATAACTCCCAGGTTCCAAGGATTCAAGAACAACAAAAATCTTTCCTAGCATAACACCTAACTAATAGCCCCCTCCCAACATCTCCACAAGATAGCTATTCAGTTCCTGCCTTCCAAATCTGCAAATACAGACTAATCCCTCTTTGAATGATTTTAAAAGAAAATTCTCCCTTATCTTAAGTGAAATCACCCTCCCTGTAAGCTTCACTTCCTTGGGCCTTCTTTTGTACAGGCTAATCTTGTGGCCAGGAACCCAGATGACCAAAAAGCAGGCGAATGAGAAGCATTGGAGGAATGGATGTATATATTACATAAGCAAATGATTATCAGAAAATGGCTGAATACAACAATTCAGCAATACACATAGTAAGTTTATGATCATGGAAATATCAAGAAGCAGTTCTAAACTGTTCCATGAATATGGCTTTGAATTTTCTCAGAAATCTGTATTGGTTTCCTATTACTGCTAAAATTAAATTACCAATAACTCAACAACTTAAACAACACAAATTCATTATATTAGGAATCTGAATGTCAGAAGTCCAAAATAGGTCCTCTTGAACTAAAATTCAAGGTGTCAGCAGGTATGTGTTCCTTTCTGGAGGTTCTACTACAGAATCCATCATCTTGCTTTTTCTAGCATCTAGGGGAAGCCCATATTCCTTGGTTTATGGCTCCTTCCTCATTCAAAATCAGCTAAGTCTCACATTAAATCACAATCCACTTCCCTCTCCCACATTTAAGGACTTTTGTGATTACAATGGACCCACTCACTCAGACAACCCAGGATAATTCCTCTTTCTTGGTCTATTTTGTTTTTGTTGTTGTTGTCGTTGTTGTTTTGGGGCACTCGACCACTGAGCCACATCCCCAGCCCTATTTTGTACTTTATTTAGACAGAAGGTCTCACTGAGTTGCTTAGGGCCTCACTTCTGCTGAGGTTGGTTTTGAACTTAGATCCTCTTGCCTCAGCCTCCCAAGTTGTTGGGGTTACAGGTATGCGCCACAGCTCCAGGCAATATTTCCCCTTTCTTAAATTCCGTTCATTAGTGATTTTAATTCAACTTTACTGAGTAAGGTAATGTATTCACAGGTTCTGGGGATTAGGACATGGATATTTTATTCTGTCTATCACACTGTCCAAAGAAACAAGATGGGAAGAAAAGGATGAGAAGAGTTTATGTAGATGAAAGATAATGACTATCACTGTAAATATTAAGAAATCAAGGTTCAGGTAATTATAAAAAATAAAGATAAAAGAGGGTAGGAATGGAAAGCAGCAGTCATCTGAGGATAATGCTTGTGAACAAACAACACAGCCATTATTTACATAAATTCCTTCTAGTCCCTTACATAGGCCCTTAACTGCCCATATATACATGTGGGTATCAGATGGTAGCATCTAAGTGTGTGGGTAATATCTGAATGAATGGTCAAAATTTAGAGACAATAAGTATTTAACTTTGCTGGTTGTGGTGGTGCATTCCTGTAATCTCTGCAGCTCAGGAAGCTGAGGCAGAGGGATTGTGAGTTCAGTGCCAGCATCATGAATTTAGCAAGGCCCTAAGCAACTTAAGCAAGACCCTGTCTCAAAATAAAACATGAGGGTGTGGCTCAATGGTCAAGCACCCTTGGGTTCAATCCCCTGTATCAAAAAAGTTTAAATTAGCTGTGTCCATTATAGTAATACCTCTTCCTTGAATGTTAGGCAATATCTTTCTAATGTTATTCTACCAGTTGAAACTATGTGAAAGAAGTCTAATCCTTCTTGTGACAGCTCTTCAGCTATTGAAGACAGTTATCATAACTCCCATAAATCTTCCCCATTCAAGACCAAGCAACTTGAATTCCTTTATTCTTTACATTATATGGTCTTCTGTTCCCTCAGTGTCAGGCTCCAAATGAAAGTCTTTGTGCTGGTTAGAGAAGAAGGGGTGATATTCTAGGTAATTTCAAGCAGCTCCAACAAATGTGACAAGAAGCCCTTCAACACAGTACTAATATTCTCTCCCTCTCTTTACAACAGCCTCTGGCTAGAGTACTCTTCCAATTCTCAATAAATAACTATTATTCTTAGTGGAAATAGGTAAGAGAAAATGAAAAGGAAGCAATAGATAAATCAATACTAGTAATAAAAGATACACTATGTCATTAACTAGAAGACAAATTGGTCAAAATCCATCTCAAATTCCAAAACTCAAAGAACATCTTCTATAAAGAGGAATAAACAGAAAAATATCAACCAGACATATGAAAAGGAACAAGTAATTTTAAAAAAAGAGAAACATTTTTAGGAATCAGCAAGCATCTACCTAAAAAAACCCTTTTCATTCCCAAGAACAGAATGAAATTTTAAAAAGTATATTCTTAACAAGATCTGAAAGGACACTGAACCTATGAAAATAGAAATTCTGAATTTGGTATTGTGACTCAGTGGTAGAGCATTCGCCTAGCACCTGTGAGGCATGGGGTTTGATCCTCAGCACCACATAAAACATAAATAAGTAAAATAAAGGTATTGTGTCCATCTACAACTAAATTTTTTTAAAAGACTGGTTTATGATATAACACGGTAACTTAGTTTTAAAAAAATTTGTAACAGTAAACAGGATGTTAGATGATGCCAAAAAAACCAAATCAACATTCCAAAGACTACTTTAAGAAATTATCTTGAAACTGAGAGATAAAAGATAATAAATGAAAACTTCAGAGACATAGAGAATAGATCCTGGAGATACATACAAACTATCCCCTATGCTCTCTTCAAAAGGAAGGGCAAAGATCAGAATTCTTCCAGGCAAAATACAGAGCAACAGGGCTAGGACTGTAGCTCAGTGTTAGAGCGCTTGCCTAGCACATGTGAGGCACTAGGTTTGATCCTTAGCACCACATAAAAATAAATAAATAAAAGAAAGGTATTGTGTGTATCTACAAATAAAAATTTTTTTTCTTTTTTTTTAATTGGTTGTTCAAAACATTACAAAGCTTTTGACATATCATGTTTCATACATTAGATTCAAGTTGGTTATGAACTCCCATTTTTAC